TTGCTTCAGAAACGGTATTGGTGTAGAAAAGAACGAACAGGAAGCAGTTAAATGGTTCACATATGCAGCTCAACAAGGTAACCCATTAGCACAAAACTCCTTAGGATATTGCTATGAAGAAGGACTAGGTGTCGAAAAGGATGAATCTAAAGCAGTTTATTGGTATGAACTGTCTGCTAAAGCACAAAACCCGTGGGCACAATGCAATTTGGGATTTTGCTATGCTAATGGCATAGGTGTAGAAAAGAACGAATATATAGCAGTTAATTGGTACCGTGAAGCCGCAGCACAAGACCATGCTCGGGCACAAGATAAATTAGGGGTATGCCTACAACTAGGTATTGGATGTGAAAAAGATGAAAAAACTGCATTACATTATTTCCGCATGGCTGCTGAGCAGGATCACCTGGCTGCCATGTACAACTTGGCTAATGCGTTGGAAAAAGGAATTGGATGTGAAGTTGATCTTGAAGGTGCTACGCATTGGTTGGAAAGAGCAGCTAGCTCTGGTTGTAGAAGAAGCTGCGAACGATTAAAAACATTATTAGTGAAGGAATGTTTGGGACAAGAGGCAAGCGGAAATGTTTATTTGACCGGTTATTGCGCAGCGGCAGCATGAATACTAGGGATGGAATCGGCTTAAGCCAGCTCGGCTTAGCTCAAAAGCCAAGCCGAGCCGGCTCGAGCTGATGGCTCAAGCCAGCTCAAGTAAATTGGCTCAAGCCGGCCCAAGTAAGTTAGCTCAAGCCGGCACATTATTTACAGCTGTTTCAAATGATTTTCGGCTGATATAATAAAAGTTATTTTTGTATTATTATTAATGATTGACAGATCGTTATAACAATAATATCAATGCTATCAAATTTTTTTCGGTTGAATGCCTTTATGACATGTCTGATTTGTTTAGTATGTGCATTTTTTGTCAACTAATAAATCTTACAAAGTGGCTCCAAATATAAAATAAAATTTTATAACTTATTACACGAATGTTAAAAAGTTAAAACATATTTTATATCGTTAGTGTTTAACAGTTTTTCTAAGGCGATGGAAGTTTTCCAATATATCCATATAATTGAAAATGCTTAAAAATTCGATTTGTCAATTTTTTTAAACTGATAACCTTCTAATCTTTTGTCATCTAGCAAAGATGTTTGAAAGTATTATATTTCTGTCCTCAACCAAAGATATGCGTACATATTTAGTCCCATAATATCTTATATATACTAGGAAAATAAAGGTCCAAAGAAACGACCTAGCTGCCGCACCAATTTTGATTGACTAACGGCCGTGATCTACAAAATTTTGGCTCGTATTTCCAAAATTTTGGCCGGAATTAACTTTTAACTTTTTCATTCCAAAAATAGAAATTTTTAGAGAAATAGGCCCGTGCAATGGTAAAATTAGCCAAGAAAATTTTTCAATTAATGGCCGACTATGATTTCATTAGAAAAATTTTGAAGAATTTCGGCCCAAATTTTTGATCGTCGCTTTTAGCCAATCAAAATCAAGAATCTGCCATGACAATCGGTCAAGGACCACCAGTCCTCAAATTAGATCGCGGTTCTGAACATTTTAGGTAGCTGTCCCACAAAATGTTTTCCACCCCTTGTAATAACGACCAATCGAATTTCAGGATCAGGTGTAACGTGATTGTCAAAACAAACGTGTTTTGGTTTTTTTTCTAAGTAAAAAGTTACGCGCAAAATTAAAGTTAAGAAAACCGCGTTAAAGTTAGGGTTAGGACTAGGATAATGTGATGCTTATATGTAAAATTTTACAAGGAATATTTTTCATTAGACCACAGAAGGCGGTTTCCTAATTAAAATTTAGAGCTATTCTTGTTTTTTTGCTTCGTCTCGATTTTCACGTTACACCTGATCCTGAAATTCGATTGGTCGTTATTACAAGGGGTGGAAAAAATTTTGTGGGTCAGCTAGGGGCTTTGTTCAGAACTGATTAGAGTTGGTTTAGTTAGGCCGATAGTTAATATAACTAGGAACCGGAAACCGGTATAAGTCCGGAGCCCATAACAGCATTCAATTAATGGCCCTAACCCCTGAAAAATCTGGTCATGTATATTGCCGATCAAAATTTTCAGGGGTGTTACAAACAGAAAATGCCGAAACTACGTTTTTGATATTATTATTATAGATGCATCAGAATCATAATTTCAGTCATCAAAGCGCATAAACATGTAAGTCCTCCACTTCGCTCTGGATAATTAAATAACTCATACCAAAATTTCAGGTCAAAATGCATTGGAATCTTGGTTAGATGTGTCAAAATTGATTAATTTTGCCCAAGATTATAAAACTTTACTAATAAAGAAAATTGATAGAGGAGATAATTGAATTTTAGTTATGTGATTTTTAAGATTAATTGTCTTCAAGCAAAAAAACTTATTTATATTAGGATTCGAGCATGCTAAGATTTGAAAAAGGCATTATAGAAAGACATTTATCTAATTAATTAATGTTTAGAGATTTACTTGTGATAATTGATTAATTAAATTATTATTGAATCAGAGTGTGGTGACTTAGTGAAGTTGGCAAGTTGTCGCACTCCCAAGCAGCAGGACTAGAGTTCAAATCCCACTGGCAATGAAAATTCAAATTATAAAAAATGCATTTGGAAAACTGTATCCTATTGGGTTGTAAAACCTGTAATAGTGGTTATACCAGCTTGTACTGAAAGATAGTGGAACATGTAGTGTGATGTACAAGTTACACAAAATCTAAATGAAACTATCAGATAAATCTAGCAAATTTATAGGGTACAAGAGCCTGCTTGGCAAGACCTGAGTAGAGAGGTAGCACAGATCTTTGACAGTTACTATGTAAAGGATGATCAACTAAATACTGGAAAACCAGACAGGACTGAGGTGTTTAGCTAAAGCATTATACCAACCAGGCTGCCAGGAAAAAACAAAGGAAGAGTTTCGCCCTTCCAGACTGTAGAATTAGAAGTTTGGGTTTCCGGAGATATGGGAGGAAGTCCATAAAGTAAATACCGAGTTTGAATAAACTCTATAAAAGCAGTAGTAGGTAATTATAGCGGCTTTGGCTTGCAAGTACTTGTCCTTGGACTTGGTATAAGTTACCAAAAAGGTCTAGTCTGGAAATGTGTGGGATATAGAAAGATTAGAGGGATATATACTATACTCTCCTTAAGGCAACCTGGTAAGTATGAGAACCCTACTGGGTTATCTATAGAATTAGAACACAAGTAGTATAGTACATGTCAATCTGGATGGTTTTTAAATGTAGCAGCATTAGGTTATAGGCCAGTGTAATTGTAGGTAGTGGTAAAATAACTACTTAAATACCTAATAAAAATTCGTCTGTTCGTGACATTATGAAGGAAAAAAAAAAAAAATTTATCATTGAATCAATTATTTATAATTCTTCAGTAAACTGAAGAATAATTATAGTATAAGGGAGATAACAAAAATTAGGTGATTTTTTAAGAGGAAGAGGGATAAAAAATTTAAAATTATATATAAAGACCTAATCAAAATATATATTAAGAGAGGAGATGAATATAAGCTTTTAATAAAAAAAAATCAGGTAATAAATAACACTACTCTAACATAATATAGTTTTATATATAAATCTTATAAACAGAAATGTGATAATTTTTTAAAGAAATGTGGTAATTATTTAAAAAATTGTTTTTTTTTATTAAGTATATTATTTTTAGCCTTTTAATAAAAGTTGTAGAGAGAATGTGGTGACTTAGTGTAGTTGGTAAGTTGTCGCATCCTCAAGTGGCAGATTAAAAGTTCGAATCCTACTGGTAACGAAAATTTGAATTTAAGAAATGTGTTACGGTAAACTGTATATAATCTGACAGATTGGTATTTGTAACCTTGGTCATATCAGCTTGTACTGAAAGGTTGTGGAACAGTAGTGCTATGTATAAGTTATATGAAATGAGTGATACGCCATGTAAATCTAGGAGATCGGGCACATGGAAGCCCACTTGGCAAGTTCTAAGTAGAGAGATAATACAGATTTTTGACAGTACTATATAAAGGATTGTTATTAGCAATCAGACACTAATGGTAAACCAGACGAAAACTGGGTGTTTGGCAAATATTAATACCAACCAAACCGCATATATACAAGGAAAAAGGATTTAATTAGAATATCAGGTGATGCCTACTAGTTCCTTCTAAATCATCTGGATTGGGAGTTTAGGCACAGTTTGTGACCAAAAACGATGGTAATTGTCTGTAAAGTGTGTACTGGGGTTTAGATAAACTTTGTAAAAGCAAGAAGTAAATAGTAGCAGCTTTGGCTCACATTGGTTTAGGCTGCAGATAAACTAGTCTGAGTTTCTTTTCTTGCTATCATTAGATATGAAGTTTAAGTTGTAATTTTTTTCTGTATAAAAGATTTTAATTGAATTTCAATAAAGACAGAGACATGGTCTCACCATTAATATTCAGCTTTGGCTCACAAGTACTTGGTCTTGGCCTAGGCATAAATTACTGAAAAATCTAGGTAATATATGTATGAGATATAGACTGCTCTAGTAGGTTTATCACAAAGATAAAGTAGTTCTAAAGGGTCTTAGCGGCAGTTCTTCTTTGGAGAGAATATCTTGACAGCATTAAGTTAATTAGGGTAGTAATACTTTTATTAATATAATAAAGTCAAAGGTGGCTCTGTGGCTACACTAGCATTTGTAATCAAAGTTAATAAACATACCAGACCCCCAAGTAGTTACCTTAATATTAAAAAAAAAATAAAATAAAAGTTGTAGAGTTCATTAAAACCTATCTAATAGTTAATAATTTTTTCTAAAACTAGTATTAAAAACAAGATATCTTGTATTAAAAAAAAAGAAAGAATACTAGAAATAATATATAATTTATTATAATAGTTCTTTAATCAAAACCTTAAAGCTAGCAATAACAGAAATTTTTAAAAATTTGACTAGATCCTAAAAATTTGATTTTAGAAACATATAAACAACAACAAAACAACAAACATGTAAGATTAGATAAACGAACAAATAAATAGCAGATTATGTAACAAATTTTAAAAATAATAAAAAATCAACAAACAAACAAACAATGCACATAACAATTACCAATAAAGAGTTAAAGTATAGACATTTATTAGATGATTTCTATTTCTTAAGAGGATACTCCTCTCCTCTATCTGATATTAACTAGCTAATCAAATTTAAGTAAATATTTTTTTTTATAATTCAGCAATTCTGCCTCTGTTTATTTGAGATTAAGCTATTCAAGAATTATACATTTTTATTTGTAGCTATTGCTAATCTAACCAAACTAGAGACTCACTCTCGACTTATGCCCAGGTGTAACCTGCCTCAGTAGTCCTTGGCCTTCCTTCGGATCCTTAACTCACTAAAGATTTGATCTCTTTGGTCACAGGCTAGTGACTACCTGCCTTGTCAGTACTGCTATTTATATCTGTTTTAACTTTATATCTACCTATGAAGACCAATCTGATTTCCTACTATTTTACACTAGGTTTTCTTTTTTTTTGTTTTTCTAATCTCCTGTTTGTACTTGATTTTCTTTATTTTCCTCATCTTTTTTTTTCCTTTTCTTCTTTTTCTTGTTGACCTTTTTCATCTTCTTAATCTTCTTTGAGATTCCTTCTCTTTTTTTCTACTCTATTTGTAACTCACACCTAAAATTCCAGATGTATTGATAGAATCTCTCACCCAACTTATTAAGTGCTATGCTTATTATTTTGCTGGCTGCATTTCTGTTTTGGAGCATATTCTCTAATTTTTGTTTTTGCTTTTTCTTAATTAGATCTCTAATCATATAACTTTTTGCTTCTATCTAACCTGCATTAGATGTACTAAAAATATTTTCTTTAATTGTAGCTCTAGTTGGAATTCTTTTAGCAAGTTTTTCTTTCTTTATGAATTTCTCTATTTCATCATATGTTTCTTCTTCTATTATACTCCATATACTTTGATAGTCTTCACAACTTGTTAAATGGTCTATTGTTTCTGGTTTTTCTTGATATATAACGTACTTATTGGTCTTGTATAGGTCAGGCCTTCTTAATTTGAGCTCCATCATTGTTAGCAGTACTTTATTTAAACATTTCATCTTAAATGTCCATTTATCATTTGTTTTACTATCTAAACAATTGTTACTCTTTACTCTTTCTATATATTTTCATGTTACTCTCCAGTCTAAACTATTCTCTTTTTCCTCCTTTACCCATCTTTTCATTCTACTTAATCCTACCTATTCTGCATCTAGAATCACTGTTGTAACCCAGTTTACAAAACTTCTGATAGGCTTACTGTATCTACTATTAACTCTTTTCACCTAGGTATAGCATGTACTAGCTTGGTCCATGATAGCTATACTTCAATGATCTTGTTCGATCTTGCATCTTCCTTTGCTAGTTTATCTGCCTTTTCATTCTCTTCTATTCTGCTATGTCCTTTCACTTTGTGCAGTTCAAGCTTTAGTTGCTTTCTTTTTCTTATATGCTCTATTTGTCCCAAAATACTTCTGTTTTTTATTTTAAGGTAGCTAGATATTTTCCTTATTCTCGCCATTTTTTAAACTACTTGA